CTTCTGTGGGACAATAAGGTTTGGGTATTAATAGCCAAACCAAGGAAAGTTAAAGCAAAGAAAACAAATAATAAACCAACATCAAAAACTTTTATCACTGCAAAAAAAAATTTTTTAAATACTGGCAAAAGAAACTACTGTACAGTAATACAGCCCAAAAAATCATTCATTATGACCAAATTGGATATTTATATCAGGAACCTAAAAGACAGTTTAATGAAAGAAAAACAAAACAAACAGGACAGCTATAGAAAAAGCATATAATAAGCCCATGATGAAGTACAAAAATAGCACAGAAAAAAGAAACTTTCCCTCCACTTAGTCTTGTTTACCTATAAATGTGTGCAAACAAACAGAACTTAGGCAAGAAGTTATTTTGTCCTCTGTAGACATGAATACATGGTTTAACAAGAACACTACTATTAAACACTACCCATGGGAAGCATTTAATAAAAGCTTGTAAAATAAAAATTTGACTCATGCCAACACTTTCATGTGACATATACAACCAGATTATTGGTGGGTTCTTTTTTAAAAAACTGTTTAAAAGTCAACATCTTTACAAAATATTTTGTTTCCTAAAGAATTCACTAATCCATCTATTGCAGTGGCAACATCTATTAATCTGGCAATGGCCCACTATGATACATCCTGTTACACAAGTAGAGATCCACCGCATCCAGCTTAAAGAGGCTGGAAAGTCCCTACCAAGCAGGCCACTATTTTCCTTTAAAAGGCACTAAAACTGTCCTGGACACTGAATTAGTTGAAGAGAGTAAAATTCAAACTATTGACACAGCCTCCTAGTCACTAAAGGCATAAAATCTCAATGTAGCTGAGGCCGGCCAAGCCTTGACAAACTTGCTACCACTTATTACTACTATACTCCTGAAGTCAATCAGTCAACAACTATTTATTTATTTAGGCTTACTGTGTGCCAGGCACTATGCTAAGCGCTGGGGATATAAAGAAAGGCAAAAAGACCATAGTCTCTGGCCTCATGGAGGAGGCCTGTGATGGAGGAGGCCTCCTGCAGAAGATAGGGATTTGAACCAAGTCTTCAAGGAAGCCAGGGGAGCCAAGAGACAAAAGTGAAAGCACTACAGGCATGAGGAACAGAAAGTGAAAAGGCATGGAGTATCACATGTGAGGAACCAATGTGACTGGGTGGTACAGTATGTGAAAGGGAAGTTAAATAAAAGACTGGAAAGGCAAGAAGGCAAAAGCAGTAACGGGCTTCAGAAGACAAACAGAAAATTCTCCATTTGATTCTGGAGGCAATAGAGAGCCACTGAAGTTTAATTAGTAGCAGGGCAGACACAGTCAGACTGGCACATTAGCTACTGTATAGCTAGAATTCCTAGAACCATATCAAATGATAGCGGCAACTATAGATACCCCAGCTTACCTGTGATTTTACTGGAAAGACCTCTAGTATCTCTCCATTACAGATAATGATAGCTCTTATTTTTAGATGGAAATTGTATACCCTTATTACAAAAAAAGTTCATTTATTCCTAGGTATTTCCATTCTTTGTCCCCTCCATGATATGTTGGCTCTACCCACAGCTACAGGGTTAAGGATGCTCTCTGAGCACTTCCCTTGCTTCTGCTGGGTAGGAAGGCTGGGGATCATTTAAAAATTGATTTCATTGTTTTAAAAAGAAAACAGGGGTGTGGGTAGGAAGGGAGATGGACATTGAAGAGCTGGGGTCATCCTTCTGCTGCTTTAATCCCAGCAATGCTGGTGCCAGTTCCTCCCTACCTTTCTCTCTCCTAACCTTGCTTGGTAATGAAGGATATTTACTGATGAAAATAACAGCTGCTGCTAGACTTATCTCCCCTCTCTTTTCCCTGTACCCCTGTACTGTCTATACCTTCCCAATCTTTAGCCCTTCACAAATCATCTCGATTGTATATTATCCTCCACACTTCAATCTCTTGCCCTGCCAAGTCCCAATCCTAAAATTAGTGCCAGGATCTACCTCCTTCAACATGCTGACTGGGTACACTACATATTTATGTTATTTGATCTCAACTGGGCCCTCACTGCAGCATCTCTAATTGATCTTCAATCCCACTCTCCTTAGGGGCTTTCCAAACCTTTTCATCTCCCCTCAACTCTCCCACGGAACCCCATCTCTCCTTATTCTCTTAGATAAGGAGAATGTTTCATACTTCCCTGAAAAAAAAATACTGTTAAATAAGAGTTCCCCCTTCCTCAGAGCTCTTTTTTCACTATCTCCTTCTTCATTCCAGGATTAGATGAAGAAGTGGCCCTTTCCCTATGGCAATCTTTTTAATTCACCCTTGATCCCATCCCCTTTGTACTTCTTCCTAAATTGTCCCTACTATCATTCTCACCTTCTTATCTCCAATCTCTCCCTATCTACTGATTCTTTCCCTGCTGTCTACAAATATGTCCTTAAAATTCTTAAAAAAAAAAACTCATTTGATTTTACCATCCCTGATTGCTATAGTCCTAAATCTCTCCTCTGCTTCAGGGCCAAACTCCTTGAGAAAGTCATCTATGATTAGTACCACTACTTCTCCTCTCATTGTCTTCTCTGCTCTCTGCAATCAGGCTTCTCATCTCATCATGCGACAAACTGTTCTCTCCAGTTACCAATGATCTCTAAATTGCCAAACTGGATGGCTTTCTCTCAATCCTGATCTTTCCTAACTTCTCTGCAGCATTTAACACTATCACCTTGTCCTTTTCAATGTTCCTACCTTTCTAAGTTTTCGTAACACTACTCTTTCTGGATTCTCCTTTATGTCCAACTGCTCCTTCTTTGTCTCTACTGATGGATTTTCATCCATGTCATACCCTCTGATTAGGGTTAGAGGCTATCCTGGAGCCCTCTCTCTTTTCATGGCTTCAATTAATCATCTGTACATACCTGATTCTCAAACTAAAATATCCACCTCTAATCTCTCTACTGAGTTAGAGTCACATATTTTCTATTGTTCCATGCACATCTCAAACTCACTATGACTAAAACAAAACTCATTATCTTTCCCTCAAAGTTTCCTTCAATTTTGAATGGGTTTATTACTATCAAGAGCAATGTCATCCTCTCCACAATCTCGGGGTCACCTTCAGCTTCTCACTTTCATTCAACCCATATATTCAATTAATTGTCAAATCTTATCATTTCTACCTTTACTACATTTCTTATATATGCCTCATGCCCCCTTTGTTCTACTAATACAGCTGCCCTCATCCCAGATCAAGCCTTCATCAACTCTCTCCTGGATTACTGCAATAACTTGTATCCTTGACCAAGTCTTCCCCACTTCAATCTATCTTCCACTCAGCTGCCAAGATCATTTTTCTAAACTATAGTTCTAACTATGTCACCATCCTGCTCAATGAGCTTCAGGGGCTCCCTATCACCTCCAGGATCAAATATAAACTTCTCACCTTTGCATTTTAAGTTCTTACAACATGGTCATTTCCTATTTTTAGTCTTACAACATTTGTCTCCATGCATTCTACAAGCCATCCATTCTGGCTTATTTGCAGTTTCTCTAATACTGATTATTTCCCATCTTTGCACTATCTTCCATGCCTGGAATGCTCTGCCCTTTCTCTTTGGTCTCTTAATTTCTATGAATTCCATCAAGACTCAGCTCAAATCCCCCATTCTGCAGGAGCCCTTCCCCAGTTCCTCGAATTGGTAACATCTTACCCTTTAAGCTTATATGCATCTATGGATATAGTTTCTTTGTACCTAGCTATTGACATATTGTATCTCCTATTAGATTGTATGTTCTTTTGGGGCAGGGAATTTTTTTTTGTCTTTCTTGGTATCCTCCTAATAAGAACAGTACCTAAAACACGATAAGCATTTAATAAATTCTTGCCAACTAATAAGAAAAACTCTAACTAAAACAATTCTGTGGTTGCACTTCAGATTCAGCAAATTGGCAAAAATGATGAAAGACAATTCATAGTTGGAAGGGCAATAGAAAAAGCCATTACTAAACTGAGGTAAGAGTTTTAAATTGTTCCAACCAGTCTGGAAAACAATTTTGAACCATACAAAACAGTCACTAAATTGTTTCTACCCTTTGACCGAGCAATCCCACTAAGTATCTCAGAGAGAAAGAAAAGCCCCACAGATACATGTATTAACAGCATCCTTTTTTTATTACCAAAGAAATGGAAAAAAAGTGGCTATCCAACACCTAATGAATGGCCACAGAAAATGGTTATATAAATACAGTGTAATAGTATGCTGCCCATGAAAGGATAAATACGAGGAATTCAGAAAAACACAGAAAGACCTGTATGAAATGACGTTGAGGGAAGTAAGTCAAACAAAGAGAACAATACATGTGGCAACTAAAATACAAATGAAAATCACACCAAATGGCATCTCAACTTTGAGCAGTGGTACTGACTAATCTTGGTGCTAAAGAATATACTATAGAACACCTTGCCTTCTCTAGGTAGAAACATGAGGGGCTATAAAGATAGAATGTTGCACAAGCTCTTTGATATGATGGTTTATCAAGTAGCTGTGCCCAACTTTTTCTGTTACAAGGGAATATTCAAATGGGGTCATCAGTATATTGGGAAATTATTAGTTATTAGTAGTTACTAGAAATTAGTACTTATTAGCAAAAAAGCAAAAGTTATCAATTTGAGTTTTTTTCAAAAAACAAAAAAAAATCTGTTAGCTATTAAAAGTCGAAAATAACCTGTCCTTTCAAATAAAAAGGCAAAATTAGATTTTTTTTTACTTAACTGTTTTAGGGAAACTATTTTGGGAGAGGTTTATTACAGTGTTTTTGTTGACATATTTTCTGTGTCAAAACATAAGGCATACAAATAAACATAAATAAAATATGAATAAAACATCTTTTTATGAATATTTTTAAGTTTAAAAACAGAACTCAAGATTAACATTAAAATTCTTTCTAACACCTCAGAGAATAATTATTTGTTATTAATACTACAAAGGTATTATTGTTAAGTAAAGCTTACTTACTGTGCTTTTATCTTTCAGTAGTTTTTCAATTACTTCAATTAACATTTCTTTTTGCTCTGGATCAAGGCTAAACATAAAAAAAAAATATTGCATTTATTAAATAGTTGTTTTCTCATTCTGGTCTAAATTATTATGACATGATTCCCTGCTGTTAAATTTCAGGAACAAAATGAATACAACTATCAGAAAAGCCAGAAATAAGCAGCAAAGAAAATACATTAAGAGAAGATAACAAAATTTTCCTCAATCAAGGGCATACTAATATTACTCTTCAAAGTTACTAAAAAAAATAACAATTCTGTTAAGTAAAATAGCTAAGACTTCCACATTTATTCATGAAACTACCAATTAAATTACAAATTCCCCGAGGGCAGGAACTGAGTTTCGTTTACTCTTCATATTTTCCACAGACCCTACTATAGTAGCTAGTTTAATAAATGTTTATTGAATTGTATCAAAGAAAAATTAAAACAGCCCTTAATAACATTCAAGTAATATACTGATTACATTTTCAACTCCCAAAATTAGAGTCACTTTTCATATTGGTTGTGACATTGTCCAAATAAGGGTCTCATTAATTCAAATATGTGTTAAGTAAAATATACACACTATACTCTACATGAGAAGAATTATAAAGGTAATTAAGACATAATCCTTGTCCATAAAAAGTTTACAATCTGGTAGAACTTCAATATAATAATCTAGTTCTATTTCAGGAAACTACCTAACAAAAACCACATTTAACCACTAAGTGGCATTGCTAGTTACTAAACTGATCATACACACACAAAACAGCATCAGGCCCTGGAAAGTCCCAAGCTCACCTTGGCAGTTCTATGGTTCTCAGAGGGTAAATGAACTTCTATTACAGAACTCTACCTGTCCTGAGTAACTGGGCCCATCTATTTAGTTAAAGAAATATGGTTGATGTAGATTTTCCCAATCGAGATGAGCTCTCAACCTGTAATATTTGTATTTCACTGGGTGGTTCAGTGGGTAAAGCACTAGGCTTGGAGTCAGTAAGATATGAGTTCAAATCCTGCCTTAGATACTTCCTAGCAGTGACCCTCTGCAAGTCACTTGCTATCTGTCTGTCTCAGTTTCCTTACCTGTAAAATGGGGATAATAATAATAGCACCTACCTCTAAGGAGAGCTCTGAATTTAAAATATTTGTATTTTATGAACCTTAATGTGTCATATAAATGCTAGTTGTTACTATTGTTACTACTACTACTACTCCTATAAATAATACTAATACTATTATTATAGGCAACTTTAAAAGAACAGAACTTCACCCCCACTCTGAACTCCCTCCCCTTCCAGGGGATATGTTCAGATATTAAAGAGTATGCTGCTACAACCTGCATAGAAATAACAAATACAATAAAACAATGACTCAAGCCCTCCCCACATAGTATACAGGCATACTCAATCCAAGAGTTCCAAGAATAATACAATTTAATTTTTTCCATGTCATTCCTCCTTCAAACAAGCAAATTAGTATAAGAAACACAACAGAGTTTCCATATCAGGTACAAATTGGAGCATCCAGTATGGCCATCGTTAAATGAAAGTTCTGAACTCTAGATCTACATCTCAACCCCTCCTTGCAAAGTAGAGCAGAAACTCGGGAAAATCATGGTGCACACTGAAGCTCCTACACAAAAATCAATGCTTTTATGTTCAGTGTCCTATAGCTGTGAAGGACTTAATGACTGCTCATTGCTACAGCTAGCTCAATCTACACACAGCCAACTCAAAGTCAAAGAGAGCCTGCCATCATTCCACTTATGGCCTCAATTCCTACTTCCAAGGGCCAAAAGGTATGTTACCTTCCCTCTATTCCTTTAGCCCCCCTTTCTCATCAAAACTTTTTGGCTCTATGGATAGGGTTAGCCCAAGATGCAGAACATCATTAAATGGGACACAGTTACCCTGCCCCTAATAACACACACAAAGTCGACATTAAATAAAATGGAGAGAAGTAAGCACATGGGTATCATGGGTCTTATTACTTTACATATGCCAAAGATTACCTATCCATAGATATAGTTTTTAAAATTCTAGTTCCAAAATAAACATATTGGAAAAACAACTTGAAGATAGCACCAATAATTTCTTTAAATCATTGGTATAAGGTCCATTAAAAAGTTTCTTCTCTGAAGTCTATTTCACTAAAAAATCTGCAATGCAACAAGACTGAAAAGGGACACAATTAAACAAACCACTGGACCAAGAATTCAGACTTTCAAACAGTACTAATTAAAAGTCTATTATCTCAGAAACTTCATGAATGCCAACCTATACATGTACAAGTAACCTCCTGCCAGTCCTCAGAGCTACAGAGCTCATAATTACTAAGGTGGGCTCCCACAAAGGCAGCTAAACCCTCATGTAACAAGGGAAGTCATAAAGAAATCGCAGGGCACCAACATATATCTATTTTAGTATGATGGAATCCTCAAAGAACCCTATTTCACTACACCCAATTATACACAATGTATCACTGTTTTACTAAAAGAGGTGGGGGGGGAAGAGGAGTGTTGCTTTCCCTTATTTACCCTATTTAACTCTAACCCTATGGCAATCAACATCCTTGTTTCCTTTAGATTTTTTTCAATTTAATCATCCTTGGTGTTCATCTGGCTCAAGCCAGGTGGAGACATTTCTGTGCATAATGGCTAAATACTTTCATGCTGTCTTCAGCCCTAAAATGTTCCTTTCTATATTATCATGTGTTTATCAATTTCTTCTGTGGGGTGAGTCCCAGGGATCCTTGTCCTGGAGAGTCCTTTTCATTATGTATTTAGTCTTCAACCTTTTATCTCTTGTCTGACAACAAAACTATTTTCACAAACAAAACTGATAACAAATTAAATATGAAGCATACAGACAACTAATTCATTTATATCTGCCTATGTAATGGAATTCAATAAGATTTTATTTCTTTTTTTACAGTTTATTATTGAGGAGCTAATTGTAGAACAGCAGAAAGAGCCCATGATCAGGATTCAGAAAGTACAGGCTAGAGTCTTATCTTTGCTGAGTGCTGGCCAGTGCAAGCTACAACTTCTGAGTCTCATTTTACTCATCTATAAAATGAGGATAATAACCCTGCCTCCTTCATATGGCTGTCGTGTGACTCAAATAAGATAAAGCACTATATAAATGGCAACTGCAATTGCTAATGATAAGCTAATACAGTGACATGACAGTTCAAAAACAACTTGTTCTTAATTCATCAACACAGAATAAAAAAATGGCCAGTCCCCAATACCAAGACAAAAATTGAAGGAAAAGGCAGGAATTGGGAAACCCAGCTTGCAACAGAAAGAAAAAATACCAAACTAAAACAATTATGAGAGTAAGAAAAAGAACATTTAAAGTTATGAAAAGGTATAATTACTACTATGCCTAAGGAAACTCTAAGTTCATATGATAAGATGACTTTCTAACACAAACAGAATTGACAGAACTTAGAAGTAGTCTGAAGAAAAACTATGATCTAAGTAAAAGAGATGACATGTTAATTACAAGCTAATTAAGCATGCTTTCAATGTTCACTTTATCATTCTGTAGGAAATTAATAATAACTGACATTTATGTAACACTTTAAAGCTTGAAAGCACTTTACATACATTTTGTCAACTGATACTTAAAATAATCCTTTGAGATAAGAAATGCAGGTTTCATTATACCTACCCTTACAGATGAAGAAACTGGGACATGGTCACATAACTAATAAGTACCTATGGCACGATATGAAATTATGTCTTCTTGACTTCAAATCCAGCCTCCTAGCAACTATGCCATATTACCTTCTCTTCAGTGTGACTGTATCTTATGGACTCTTACCTGTACAATTTCTGTATTGCATGGGCAGCATTCTTTCTAACGTATGGTGATAAATCAGCAGAAGCTTCTTTAATAGCAAGCATCATGATAGGAACAATAATTGGAACCCTGATACTGGAAAGGACTCTCAAAGCACTTGCACGAATTAATTGATTGGGATCCTAAAAAGAGTACAAGAATTATTAGTACCATCAAAAATCACTTACATTTCAAAATTGCGTGTAATGTTAATGTTTGATAGAGGATGGCTTACAAATGCATTTTCTTTCAGTTTCAAATATGGAAGTTGCTCACCAAAATTTGATTCATGAAGTTTTAGAGCAGTCTTTCAAGTTAATATGTCCATTAGCCCAAAAGATATAGTAAAATAACATTAGGACAAAAGAAATTTTGGTCAAAATTTGAAAACTAATTTCAGAAAGGTGGTAGCTAACTAAAAATTAAAAAATTATTTAAATATACATAACTATCTTTCAGTATCAAGAGGTAGAGTAATGAATAGCAAGACAGCCTCAAAATTTAAAAGACCTAGAATGAAGTAGTACCTCTGATACAGTACTTTCTTCTTCAGCTACAAAACTAACTTTATTTCACTATTTATGATCATTTAAGGTTTGACTATTACAAAACATAAAGAGGCATTTTTAAAAATCAGAATTTTGTCCTTCCAAGTAAGGGTAGAAAAATCTAGAGCATTATAATCACAGTTTATATAAATATTGATAATAAAGCATTTAAAACATTAGATTTTCAATGAAGTAACTGTATAGGTAAGCAACATTCTGTGACAAAATGAGTTAGTCATTGGTATAACTGAGGAATTCATATTATCAATATATTTTAGCTACTTCTAAGATCAAAATAAAACTTTAAGAACAAAAAATCCTAATATTGAGACTTTCTTTTGGTACATTCATCACCTTCTTACTAAAAATTTTACTCAAGCTATAAAGAAAAAGTGCTAACTTTAGACCAAAGATTAAAAATACTGCCTACTACTTTCCAAGGCCAAAAACCTTCATATATGTATACATTCTGTGTGACCCAGGACAAGGGACCTACAACTTTCAGTACCTACAAGCAACTAAGAACACAAACTGCAGAACAGTTGCTCATCAGCATTTGCAGAAGGAGACTGGCTCAATGGGAGTGCCCCATTCCAAAAAATATAGGACTGGACAAAAAATTAAAAATTCTCAAATTTCTACTAAATGATTTTTGTGAGACTGTGAGATTATTCATTCTAATAATATACTTTTGATATTTCAAGGTTTTTTCTTTGTTTCTAAATTTTTACCTCACCAGTTTGTTTTGCCTTGTTTCCTAGGATTTAATTTGAATATTTGGTACAATATATATTTTTCTTTCTTGGATGCCTATTGCAGTTACATCCTACAAAAGATTAAGAACCAGGAAAGCATGGATTCTGTCTTGTTTTCTTCCTCCTCCACCAATTAACATAATACTAAGCATCCATAAGGCCATGATTAAACCTTTTTAAACTGACATGAAGACAAGGAACAAATACACAGGCTCCCGAACAGAAAAGATTCTGAGGGACCATAAACTACCCTTGGCAATATATTTCAGTTACCATGACAAGGTTTTAACTCTTTTAAGACACTATTTAACCTCCTTCAACTGTGCAAACACCTTGTTACTCTAGAATAATGTGTCTTATTACTTACTTTCAGAGCACGTTGAAAAGTGCTGATGGACAAGAGAGCCAGGTCCTGTTGTTCCTCAGCATATCGGACCAAGTACACATAGACCAACTTTTTGATCTGGTGCAGGGGGAGGAAAACATAAAAACCAAGTCTGATCATACTAGATTAGAAGACAAGGGACTCACCACCTAAAAAACATCCTGTACACAGTAACTGCTCAAGAAATGTTTCTGGAATTGAAGATCTTTTAGTCTTATACTGCCTCTTAACTTTCCTTAGAGAAATCATATAATATGCCTACACTTGATTTTCCTCATCTATATAATGAGGATATTACTCTGGGTTAAGGAAACAACATTTCAAACTGCTTTTAAAGTACAGGATTGTTAATTGTCCATAACGTCTAAAAGAAGCATGTCAAAAAAAGGCATGAAATAACTACTCAATTAAAATACAGGCAATACTAAAATACGCATTTACAAACTTGGCATTAATATTCTCATCTACAGATTATATATTTTTAATTAGCTCCACCAATATAAAAAAAAAACATTTTCAAATGCAAAGTAGAACCGAGTAAGAGAACTGAATGTGAAATTATGAGTCTGTTATACATAGTTCACTTCTTTTAAGTATATAATAAATCCAAAAGTTACTTTCAAAGCTGTCCTGCTTCTCTGTGTTTCCTTTTGAGAACCTCCTTCTGTTATCCCTGGACATTTTTTTTCCTTCATGGTCTACAGCACGTGGTGCTTTTTATTGAGAAGCTCTCAGAGCTCCAATATACTCAGAGACACTTTTCTTATATAAAAACTGGGTAGGGTTTTAATTAATTTCTCCATGATAGCCACTGAAAAATGACTTCAGAGATTTTAGCCATAATGTAGTTTCATATATTTTATGGTCTGTGGCGCTGATGATGTGGTTTTTTTTTTATTGTAAAGTTCTCTTTGCTCATAGATAGCATTTTTAAAAGCTCATCAATAGTCTTCTTTTTTTGTTAGTATTACTGGGGGCTCCTGTTCCTCCTCTCACTCAAAGAAAAACAAAAAAATACTATCTTTATTTAAAAAAGATAAGCAGAGTGCAGGAAAACAAACTCATACACTTGCCAGGTCCAAAAATGTATATATCATGTATGTATTATTCTATATCTTGAGTTTATCATTTCCTTGCCAGATTTTAGTAGCATGTTTCATCATCAGCTCTCTGAAGTCATGGCTGGTTATTACAATGTGCAAACGTTTAATGTCTTTCTATATTGTTTTTTTATTTGCATTTATTTATTTTTAGTTTTCAATATTCATTTCCACAAGATTTTGAGATCTAAATTATATATTGTTTTTCTTTACAATAGTTACCATATAAATTGTCTTCCTGATTTTCCTTGCCTTACTCTACACATCAGTTTATTCAAGTGTTCCCAAGTTTCTGTGAAACTAACCTCCTTATAATTTCTTAGCATATGGTAATATTCCTTTACATTCTTATACTGGTATTTGTTCAGCCATTCTCTAATTGATGAGTATTCCCTAAATTTCCAGTTCTTCACCACTATAAGAGTTGCTATAAATACTGTACTTAAGGGTTTTTCCCTCTTCCTTTGCTCTTTTGGGAGTATGGGTCTAATAGTGATATCTCTAGGTCGAGGTGGCCTGTATAGTTGAGTGACTCTGGGGCATCATTCTAAACTGCTGACAAAAATGGGCTGGATCAGTTCACAGCTCCCTCAACAGTGCAGCAACAGAGATTAGAGGGGGCAGAGCCAAGATGGCACAGCGAAACCAGTGACTTGTTTGAGCTCTCCCCTGAACCCCTCCAAATACCTATAAAAAAAATGGCTCAAAACATATTCTAAAGCAGCAGAACCCACAAAAAGACCGAGTGAAACAAATTTCCAGCCCAAGACAACCTGGATTATTGATCAGAAAGGTGTATTGCGCCATGCAGAGAGCGGAGCACAGTGCAGTACAGGCCGCAGTGAACCTAGAGCAGGCCTCAGAGGACTGAATCCTGAGCAGCTGTGGCGGCTTCCAGACTTCTCAACCCAAGAACGCCAAAAACAACTTAGAAGGTCAGTGGGAAAAGTCTGGTTCTGCGGTGCTGAGAGAGGAGTTCGGGGTCTCAGATCCAGTTCCCTGAGAGCGCTGCCCGGGTGGGGGGGGGGGGGTGACAGCTGCCTCCTGAGCTTCCGGCCCACAGACTGAGGGGAAATCCAGTGGCTGATCAGAGAGGGACTGTAGGGATCTCTTTGCCAGTGCTGAGGCAGGAATCTCTTGCTTTGCCCTTGGCAGCAGTCCTGGGGTGAGGAGGAGTGCTGGTGTGGCAGAGCTTGTAGTGGTTGGGTAGAATAAATTCTCCTCACAGTTCCAAGACATAAAGGAGTGCTTATGGTCACTAACAGACCAGAGCACAGGCCAGGAAAGGAGTAAACACCTCACCCCTTATCATACCACCTTGGAAGAACTGAAAATTTACAGGCCCTTGGAAGTATCTCTGAAAGCAGCTTTACATACCCCCAAAGCTTGGGACAGCACATTCTCCACATTGGAAGCAGACTCTTACCTTAACAAAGAGTTTAAAACTCAAGTAATTGGCTGGGATCATGAGCAAGCAGCGCAAAAAGAGTCAGACTATATTATCTTACTTTGGTGACAAAGAAGATCAAAACATACAACCAGAAGAAGACAACAAAGTCAAAGCTCCTACATCCAAAGCCTCCAAGAAGAATATGAATCAGTCCCAGGCCTTGGAAGAGCTCAAAAGGGATTGTGAGAAGCAAGTAAGAGAAGTAGAGGAAAAACTGGGAAGAGAAATGAGAGTGATGCAAGAAAATCATGAAAAACAAGTCAACAGCTTGCTAAAGGAGACCCAAAAAAATACTGAAGAAAATAACACCTTAAAAAATAGCCTAACCCAAATGGCAAAAGAGGTCCAAAAAGCCAATGAGGAGAAGAATGCCCTAAAAAGAAAAATTGGCCAAATGGAAAAGGAAGTCCAAAAGACTCATGAAGAAAATACTTCCTTAAAAATTAGAATAGAGCAATTGGAAGCTAGTGACTTTATGAGAAATCAAGACACTGTAAAACAAATCCAAAAGAATGAAAAATAGAAAACAATGTGAAATATCTCATTGGAAAAACAACTGACCTGGAAAATAGATCCAGGAGAGAGAATTTAAAAATTATTGGACTATCTGAAAGCCATGATCAAAAAAAGAGCCTAGACATCATCTTTCAAGAAATTATCAAGGAAAACTGCCCTGATATATAGAACCAGAGGGCAAAATAGAAATTGAAAGAATCCACAGATCTCCTCCTGAAAGAGATCCCCAAAGGAAAACTCCTAGGAATATTATAGCCAAATTCCAGAGTTCCCAGGTCAAGGAGAAAATATTACAAGCTGCCAGAAGGAAACAATTCAAGTACTGTGGAAACACAATCAGGATAACACAAGATTTAGCAGCTTCTACATTAAAGGACCACAGGGCATGGAATATAATATTCTGGAGGGCAAAGGAGATAGGATTACAACCAAGAATCACCTACCCAGCAAAACTGAGTATAATCCTTCAGGGGAAAAAATGGTCATTCAGTGAAATAGAGGACTTTCAAGCATTCTTGATGAAAAGACCAGAGCTGAATAGAAAATTTGACTTTCAAATACAAGACTCAAGTGGAACATGAAGAGGTAAACAGGAAAGAGAAATCATAAGAGACTTATTAAGGTTGAACTGTTTACATTCCTGCATGGAAAGATGATATTTATAACTCATGAGACCTTTGTCAGTATTAGGGTAGTTGGAGGAAAAAATTATATGTAGATAGATAGATAGATAGATAGATAGATAGATAGATAGATAGATAGATAGATAGAGGGCACAGGGTGAGTTGAAGATTAAGGGGTCATATCTGGAGAATAAAATTAAGGGATGAGAGAGGATTATACTCAGAAGAAGAAAGAGAGGTAGAATGGGGTAAATTATCTCACAAAAAAAAACAGAAAAGAAAAGGCTCTTCAGTGGAGGGGAAAGGGGAAGGTGAGAGGAATGAGTGAATCTTATTCTCATAGGATTTGGCTTAAGGAGGAATAACATACACATTCAATTGGGTATGGAAATCTGTCTTACCCTACAGGAAAATAGGGGGAGAAGGGGACATGAGAGCAGGGCGATGATAGAGAGGAAGGCAGATTGGGAAAAGGGGTAATCAGAGGGAGGGACAGGATCAAAAGAAAGAATAAAATAAATGGGAGGGTGGGATAGGATTAAAGGAGATAGAGTTAGTTTTTCACAACATGTCTACTATGGAAGTGTTTTGCATAACTGCACATGTATAACCTATATTGAGCTGCTTGCCTTTTCAATGAGGGTGGGTGGGGAGGGAGGAAGGGAGAAAATGTGGAACCCAAAGTTTTAAAAACATGCTTAAAATAATGTTCTCACATGCAACTGGGAAATAAGAAATACAGGAAATGGGGTACAGAAGTCTATCCTGCCCTATAGGAAAATAGAAGTGGAAGGGGATAAGAGAAGGGGGGGAGGAATAGAGGGCAGACTAGGGGAAGGGGTATTCAGAATGCATGCCATCTTGGGGTGGGGGAGGGGCGAGATGGGGTGAAAATTTGGAACTCAAAATCTTGTGGAAGTAAATGTTGAAAACTAAAAATAAATAAATTTATATTAAAAGAACAACAGTGCAGCAACATCCCTATCTTCCCACATCTCCAACAACTGCCTGTTCTTTTAATCATCTTCACCAATTTGACAGCTATGAGGTAAAACCGAATTTGCTTTCATTTGAATCTCTAATAATTAGTGATTTGTAGCATTTTTCCATATAGCTATTGGGAACTTAGATTTCTGCCTTTGGGAACTGCCTGTTCATATACTCTGATCATTTATTTATCTATTGGGGAATGGCTAGCATTTTTGTCTATTTTGCTTATCAGCACTTAATTGAAGAAACTTGTTGCAAAGATTTTTTTTCCAGTTAATTGTTTCCCTCCTAATTTTAACTGTGTTGATCTTGTTTTATGCAAAAACTTTTCAATTTTACATAATCCAAATTGACTGTTTTATCTTTTATATCTATAGTTGTGAATGGTATTTTCTTCCT